CAGAACACATGACCATAACACAAGGCACAGATCACTCTTTGATGTTCCTCGTGTCCATCTCACACTATGCAAAAACTCAATGCACATAAAAGGCCTAAAATCTGGAATTCATTACCTGTAAATATAAAAGAAAACAACCTGTTTATAAATTCAAGTCTCTTCTCAAAGATTACTTACTCACCCAAAACCAAATAAATACTGAATAACTGAACATTTATAAATTGTATATCTTAAATGTTTCTCACAATTATATCACATAAATGTTAAACCTAAAACCCAATCTAACTTTATTATTTTTTAAATACACTACCAAACAGAATCACTACCTAACTGAATGCAACCATATGACTGTCTTTGTAATACTCACTTGTGCTTTATAGTTATCTGTTTACATTAATGTTTTATCACTGATTTCATCATTGCTTAGTAGCAGCGCTGTATAGTCCTTGTGGCTTAGCGCTTCTTTTTGATTATAATAATAATAATAATCATTGCTTAGTTAATCTTAAGTTAATTTTAAGCCAGCCCGTAATGCTATGCATAGTATAAGTGGCTTTGGCATACTGCTCTTATCTCTATTTTTTTGTACCTCTGTATGTGTGCACAAATTGGAAAAAATAAGTTACTCCCTATGCTTAAATACTGGTGTAAGTTAGCCCCTATGCTTAAATACTGGTGTAAGTTAGTCCCTATGCTGAACTACTAGTGTAAGTTAGTCCCTATATTTGACTACTGGTGTAAGTTAGTCCCTATGCTTGACTACTGGTGTAAGTTAGTCCCTATATTTGACTACTGGTGTAAGTTAGTCCCTATGCTTGACTACTGGTGTAAGTTAGTCCCTATGCTGGACTACTAGTGTAAGTTAGTCCCTATGTTTGACTACTGGTGCAAGTTAGTCCCAATGCTTGATTACTGGTGTAAGTTAGTCCAAATGTTTGACTACTGGTGTAAGTTAGTCCCTATGCTTGAATACTGGTGTAAGTTAGTTCCTGAGCTTCACTACTGGTATAAGTTATTCCCTAAGCTTGACTACTAGTGTAAGTTAGTCCCTAAGCTTGACTAATGGTGAAGGGTTAGTTCCTGAGCTTGACTACTGGTGTAAGTTAGTTCCTGAGCTTCACTACTGGTATACGCTAGTCCCTAAGCTTGACTACTGGTTAAAGCTAGTCCCTAAGCTTGACTATTGGTGTAAGTTAGTCCCTGAGCTTACCTACCGGTGTAAGTTAGTCCCTAAGCTTGACTACTGGTGTAAGTTAGTCTCTGAGCCTGACTATTGGCATAAGTTAGTCCCTAAGCTTGACTACTGGTGTAAGTTAGTCTCTGAGCCTGCCTATTGGTATAAGTTTGTCCCTAAGCTTGACTACTAGTGTAAGTTAGTTCCTGAGCTTGACTCCTGGTGTAAGTTAGTTCATAAGCTTGACTACTGCTGTAAGTTAGCTCCTGAGCGTGACTACCTGTGTAAGTTAGTCCCTAAGCTTGACTACTGGTGTAACTTAGTCTCTGAGCCTGACTATTGGTATAAGTTAGTCCCTAAGCTTGACTACTGGTGTAAGTTAGTCACTAAGCTTGACTACTGGTGTAAGTTAGTCTCTGAGCCTGACTATTGGTATAAGCTAGTCCCTAAGCTTGACTACTGGTGTAAGTTAGTCCCTAAGCTTGACTACTGATGTAAGTTAGTCCCTGAGCTTACTTACTGTTGTAAGTTAGTCCCTGAGCTTGACTACTGGTGTAAGTCCCTAAGCTTTACTACTGGTGTAAGTTGGTCCCTAAGCTTGACTACTGGTGTAAGTTAGTCCCTGAGCTTGTCTACTGGTGTAAGTTAGTGCCTACGCTTGTCTACTGGTATTAGTTAATCCCTGAGCTTATCTACTGGTGAAAGTCAGTGCCTGAGCTTGACTATTGGTGTAAGTTAGTCTATGAGCTTGACTATTCGTGTAAGTTAGTCCCTGAGCTTGACTACTGGTGTAAGTTAGTCCTTGAGCTTGACTACTGGTGTAAGTTAATCCTTGAGCTTGACTACTCGCATAAGTTAATCCTTGAGCTTGACTTCTGGTGCAAGTTAATCCCTGAGCTTGACTACTGGTGTAAGTTAATCCCTTAGCTTGACTTCTGGTATAAGTTAATCCTTGAGCTTGACTTCTGGTATAAGTTAATCCTTGAGCTTGACTACTGGTGTAAGTTAATCCCTTAGCTTGACTTCTGGTATAAGTTAATCCTTGAGCTTGACTACTGGTGTAAGTTAATCCCTGAGCTTGACTTCTGGTGTAAGTTAATCCTTGAGCTTGACTACTGGTGTAAGTTAATCCTTGAGCTTGACTTCTGGTATAAGTTAATCCTTGAGCTTGACTTCTGGTATAAGTTAATCCTTGAGCTTGACTACTGGTGTAAGTTAATCCCTTAGCTTGACTTCTGGTATAAGTTAATCCTTGAGCTTGACTACTGGTGTAAGTTAATCCCTGAGCTTGACTTCTGGTGTAAGTTAATCCTTGAGCTTGACTACTGGTGTAAGTTAATACTTGAGCTTAACTACTGGTGTAAGTTAATCCCTGAGCTTGACTTCTGGTGTAAGTTAATCCTTGAGCTTGACTACTGGTGTAAGTTAATCCCTGAGCTTGATTTCTGGTGTAAGTTAATCCTTGAGCTTGACTACTGGTGTAAGTTAATACTTGAGCTTAACTACTGGTGTAAGTTAATCCTTGAGCTTGACTTCTGGTGTACGTTAATCCTTGAGCTTGACTACTGGTGTAAGTTAATCCCTGAGCTTGACTTCTGGTGTAAGTTAATACTTGAGCTTAACTACTGGTGTAAGTTAATCCTTGAACTTAACTACTGGTGTAAGTTAATACTTGAGCTTAACTACTCGCATAAGTTAATCCTTGAACTTGACTTCTGGTGTAAGTTAATCCCTGAGCTTGACTTCTGGTGTAAGTTAATCCTTGAGCTTAACTACTGGTGTAAGTTAATCCTTGAACTTAACTACTGGTGTAAGTTAATCCTTGAACTTAACTACTGGTGTAAGTTAATCCTTGAGCTTAACTACTGGTGTAGTTAATCCTTTAGCTTAACTACTGGTGTAAGTTAATCCCTTGAACTTAACTACTGGTGTAAGTTAATCCTTGAACTTAACTACTGGTGTACGTTAATCCTTGAACTTAACTACTGGTGTACGTTAATCCTTGAACTTAACTACTGTTGTACGTTAATCCTTGAACTTAACTACTGGTGTACGTTATTCCTTGAGCTTGACTACTGGTGTAAGTTAATCCTTGAGCTTAACTACTGGTGTAAGTTAATCCTTGAGCTTAACTACTGGTGTAAGTTAATCCTTGAACTTAACTACTGGTGTACGTTAATCCTTGAACTTAACTACTGGTGTACGTTAATCCTTGAACTTAACTACTGGTGTACGTTAATCCTTGAACTTAACTACTGGTGTACGTTAATCCTTGAGCTTGATACTGGGTGTAAGTTAATCCTTGAGCTTAACTACTGGTGTAAGTTAATCCTTGAGCTTAACTACTGGTGTACGTTAATCCTTGAGCTTGACTACTGGTGTAAGTTAATCCTTGAACTTAACTACTGGTGTACGTTAATCCTTGAACTTAACTACTGGTGTACGTTAATCCTTGAGCTTAACTACTGGTGTAAGTTAATCCTTGAGCTTAACTACTGGTGTACGTTAATCCTTGAACTTAACTACTGGTGTACGTTAATCCTTGAGCTTAACTACTGGTGTAAGTTAATCCTTGAGCTTAACTACTGGTGTAAGTTAATCCTTGAGCTTAACTACTGGTGTAAGTTAATCCTTGAACTTAACTACTGGTGTACGTTAATCCTTGAGCTTAACTATTGGTGTAAGTTAATCCTTGAACTTAACTACTGGTGTAAGTTAATCCTTGAACTTAACTACTGGTGTACGTTAATCCTTGAACTTAACTACTGGTGTACGTTAATCCCTTTAGCTTAACTACTGGTGTTTCGTTAATCCCTTTAACTTAACTACTGGTGTACGTTAATCCTTGAGCTTGACTATGGTGTTACGTTAATCTTGAACTTAACTACTGGTGTAAGTTAATCTTGAGCTTAACTACTGGTGTAAGTTAATCCTTGAACTTAACTACTGGTGTAAGTTAATCCTTGAGCTTAACTACTGGTGTAAGTTAATCCTTGAGCTTAACTACTGGTGTAAGTTAATCCTTGAACTTAACTACTGGTGTACGTTAATCCTTGAGCTTGACTGCTGGTGTAAGTTAATCCTTGAACTTAACTACTGGTGTAAGTTAATCCTTGAGCTTAACTACTGGTGTAAGTTAATCCTTGAACTTAACTACTGGTGTAAGTTAATCCTTGAGCTTAACTACTGGTGTAAGTTAATCCTTGAACTTAACTACTGGTGTAAGTTAATCCTTGAGCTTAACTACTGGTGTAAGTTAATCCTTGAGCTTAACTACTGGTGTAAGTTAATCCTTGAACTTAACTACTGGTGTACGTTAATCCTTGAGCTTGACTACTGGTATAAGCTGGTCCTGACACGGCTCCTGGTACTTGCTCAACACACTTCTTTGTTTGATATTTAGAATTTAGATGTCTCAATCACTGGCCAGGTTAGACCGGTACTATTTCTCTTCTTATAACTGTGTGTAGCTTACACCTACCATTGACTGTTACCTCGGTGGAAGTGTTTGCTGCACTATAAACAAGTGTTGAATAAGCAATTATACACTGCACATCCTTCGCAGTTAATTGTATGCTTAAGTCGGTTGCCTTGTCTTCATTTTCTGTTGTCATGACTTCATTGCGCGATAATTCTTACACTTACCCTATAAGAAAACATCTTATATAATAATAAATAGTAAGTATTAGTACTACTACTACTACTACTACTACTACTACTACTAATAATAATAATAATAATAATAATAATAATAATAATAATAATAATAATAATAATAATAATAATACGAAAAATAATTTTTTTAATTATTATTTTTTATTTTCAGTTTGAGTCGAGAGGAAAGAAGTTGGAGCACATATTTGAAGTCCCTCAGGACAGTCTTGAGAGAGTGTCAGAAGTACAAGTCTCTACATCAAGATCTCATGGCCTCTGGAGCACTTCCATGAGGACGGTGGAACGCATTCTGTAGCAAGATCCACAACTGAAGTTTTGGCTGTGAATGCAGTGAAATGCAAAATTCGATTCCTAATTTTTTTTAAGCTGATCTAGCCTCTTATTTTCTAGAGAAAATAAAGTGTTTAGATATAATCTCCGTGTTATTCTAAGTCGCAATTCAGTTCGTTTGGAAATAATTTTTAGCTTGAAAATCCGACGATCTCTTCCTCTCCACGAGTTCTTGTTCGTTGGTCCCTCAAGGCGCTCAACTGGTTGCATAGGATCTGGATCATCAAGGCAGAAACTTCATGCATCATAAACACGTTAGAAATAAACTGTATTTTATCTCTGTGTCAAGACGAGAGATGGCGCCTTAAGAGCCTTGCAAAAATCTTAAAACAAACTCTGAGGTCAAGTGATTTATCTCTTCCTGAAGAAATTCACCTTGTGACGCGATTCGTGGTGACGAACTAGCGACAAAGAGTGACACTGAGTGTGCAAGAAGTAAGTGTTAGTACCAGGCTGACTAGGGTATCTAAGTAAAGCATTCCTAAAAAAATAAAACTGGCGACAGTTCCCAAAATACAACGTTCTAATTCGCACGAAAGTGCCAAGAACACCAACGTGGCGACCATCGTAATCCGCAGCATGGGTGAGATTGCCATCACAGGTGAGGTGAGCCCAGATTACACCCCACAGCTTGAAACTCACGAAGGTGAGATCAGCTCCAACTACACCCCACAGCTGGAGTCACGTGAAGACGGGATGAGCCAAGACGACACATCATCGATGAATGACCACGAAAGTGGAAATAGCCTTAAATGTGCCCTGAAAAGGAAGTCGTCCAAGAAGTGCCACATATCTCCCAAATGTGACTCTTTGGAACCCAGAAACTTGAGAATTTGCTGCACTGAGAGTGAAGGAGATAACATTTTTCCTCCCATTTCAAAGTGCCGTAAAAACTCCCTTCCAGTTTTCAAGAGGAGTCTCAGTGAAGCCTGTTGGTCCGAGTCACGCCGAAGAGTGAACTCCACTTCTTCCACGTCCTCAGATTCTGTGATATTCACGCCTGAGTTTCTTCATCCTTCACTTGATCATCAGGTCTCCCTCTCACTGGCTGTTGGTTCTCTCTCTCCGCTGCAACCCAGTTCCTTAGAGCCTCAGAGAGCTCACAGTCTCCACGTCCTCGATGAATGGAAGTCCAGAACTCTTAGAAAAACTCTGGAGGACGCTCCGCAGGATCTATCCAGACACCGACGGCCCCAACATCCACTCGACTACCCTGCAGAACTACATTTGAACCTTAGATCCAGAGCTGAGGGCACTGTGCAAGGCATGATGGAGATTGTGGAGCTCCGTGAGAGGGAGACGAAAGAAAATCAACAGGGAAGAAGCGATAAAAGAGAGAGGGGACGAGGAGAGAAAAACTCGGCTACGAAGGGCATCAAGAGAGAACACGACGAGTCTTTAGGTGCCGACTGCCTGACTGAGGACGAGGGCGACACAACACCAGGTGAGTCACCTGTCGTTATCAACACCACATTCCTCACCTAAGTGTTAATCTCAGCTCGGTATTTACGTCGTGGTTTTCAGATTTCGAACTCATTAGCCTCATTGGTCGATGCGGTTGGGGTTTTTATCGAGTGAATTGTTTGTGTTGATGGAATGCGTGTGTTAGGGCGCCACGAGATTATTTACTTATTATGGTTCATTACTGGGGTTAATGGGGGTCTAAAACCTATCGACTAAAGTAGGGTCATTACAGCTCCATGTCACCTCCTCACCACCTCGATTCTCTGAGGACAGTGGTCACGAAAGGTTGCGCCTTTCCTGAGCTGTTTTGGAAGATCAGTGCAGAGTGTTATAGCGTACCATGGTTTTCCTCTGTAATGTCTTAGAGTCTGAATTCAAGGTGTTCAAGGGGAAAGCTCTACTTTTCAAGGAGAAAAATAAGAAACTGAAAATTTGCCTAGAGAAGAATAACAATGAATGTGAAATGGTTGTGGCTAGTGAAGGGAAACAGGTTACCAGCAGTAAGGAGCAGATTTGCAGCCATTAGAAGTGTGAAGAAGTGTCTAGTAAAGGAAGAAACATCAGTTCCTCAGCCTAGAAGCACTTGATGAGCACCGTAGACATGTAGAATCTGAAGCACAGACAGGAAGATTGGAGCTTATATACTGGCATCAGGTGAGGTTCAGCAGGCGAAGGTACTGTCACAGGTAAACGGGATTTCCTAGTGGAAGTAAGTCATACTAAAGAGTTAGGTCAAGAATTGGTAGTAGGTTGTGGAGATGTCCTCCTAGGTTGAGGGACTGAGTACCTCGTTTTCCACTGTCTTCTTTATATATTCCCACAGTCTTCAGATTATATCCATATATTGTACTGATAAAGCTACTGGATGGCGAAACATCTGCAAAGTAAATATACCCAGATGTTTCACATGTGTCTAGTTCATCAACAGAGAGTTTTGCACAAATAAGGAGAAATCTGAGTGGGGACGCGTCACAAACGGTGCTCCACATTGGTCAGTTGTGATGAATGGTTTAAAAAACCGACATGTTGAAGATTGAGACACTTCAACACTTCTTCAACACTTGTTCAACCTTTGGACGAAGACCTACTTCGACTAGTGGATGATACCACTATGACCCCGCCTCCACCTGCTTCACGTCACCTCACTACAGTATATAAGCCACGTCTACGGCCCTATGCTGTACATTCTACAAGATTGATGGACTGAACACATCGACTCCAGGTTGAGGGACTGATTACCTCATTCTCCTCCTCTCCTTACGCCTTCCTCTTTGTATTGGACTGATGAAGCCACTGTGTGGCGAAACGTTTCCTGAATAAAGATTCCCATATGCTGCATAAGTGTCTCAATCTTCAACATTGGTCAGTGTTGGGCCCTTTGTTGTTCACAGTATACATAAACGACATAGATGAGGGAGTAAATAGCGACGTAAGCAAGTTTACCGATGACACCAAAATAAAAAGGCACAATACCGTGACCGGAACAATAATACAAATAACCCGCATATATGTCATGTAAAAGGACACAAGTGCACCTAATGTCACATTTTATTGTAGCAACGTTTCGCTTTCCAGGAGCTTGCTCCTGGAGAGCGAAACGTTGCCACAATAAAATGTCACAGTAGATGCACTTGTATCCTTTTACTTAACATATTATCGGTAATTCTTCCAACGTTAATATAACCCGCACAAAGGAGAATGAAACTGATGACGTTTTGGTCCGACTTGGACCATTAAAATGTCACCAAAATATGCACCAAAATAAGCCGTCAAATTAATTTTGACGAGGACACTAGAGCACTACAGGAAGATCTGAATATACTGATACAGTGGTCGGAGAAGTGACAAGTGAGGTTGAAACTAGACAAATACGAAGTTGTAAACCTTGGAAATGGAAGTAACCATGGCGCTTATAAACTAAATACTGTAGATCTTAATCACTCTGAATGCGAAAAAGATTTAGGAGCACTGGTTAGCAGTAATCTAAGCCAAGGCAACAGTGTGTAACTGCTCGCAATAAAGCGAATAGAATTCTTGGCTTCATATCAAGAAGTATAAATAACAGGAGTCCTCAGGTTGTTAGGTAAACGGACACAGATGCAACTACTGTGACATTTTATTGTGGCAATGTTTCGCTCTCTAGGAGCTTTGACAAAAGCTCCTGGAGAGCGAAACGTTGCCACAATAAAATGTCACATTAGTTGCATCTGTGTCCATTTACCTAACATTTTGTCGGTAATTCTACCATTATTACTAGTTCGCAGGTTATTAATAAGAGTATAAGAATATAAGAATGGAGAAACACTGCAACAGGCCTACTGGTCCGTTCAAGGCAAGAACTTACCAAAATCACCCATTCCTGTGTAAGAACTCTATAGCATATATTATCGGTTAGGCTTCTTTTGGATTATACTGCACAGTTCTGGGAACCGTATTACAGATTGAACATAACTGCGTTGGAAAATATACGGAGAAGGATGATGAAGTTGGCCCCATGAATCAAAAATCTTTCCTGCGAGGATAGACTCATGGCCCTGAACCTGCACTCTCTAGGTATATGACTGAGGTGTATAAATGGAAAATATGAATAAATAAAGAGGCTGTAGATAACGTGCTAAAAATGTCTAATCATGACAGGACTCGCAGCAATGGTTTTAAGTTGGAAAGTTTTAGATTTAGAAAGAATATAGGAAAGCAGTGGTTTGGTAATAGAGTTGTGAATGAGTGGAAAAAAAAAAACTCCCGAGTTAGAATCATTAAAGGTAAAACCTTGTGTAGGTTTAAAAAATAGGTTAGACAAGTACTTGAGTGGGTGTGACACTGACCTGTCTTTCATGGGCCAGTAGGGCTGGTGTGCTGGACTGCAGAGGTCACTGGCTGATCTACGTTTCCAGAATTAAGATACTCAAGTGTTGCAAGTGTTGAACAAGTGTGTTCTTATGTTCAAAAGTGTGTTCTTATGTCAAGAATATATTAATTTTTAAAATGGGGACAAAAGTAAACTCTGAGTAAGTATATACACAGATGCACACCTTTGTACATCCTCGCCGGGTCGTTGTAAATGTTTGGTCAGGGTTTAATTCTTGAATTTTTTTTGTATTAATATTGGCAGAATTACCGACAATATGTTAGGTAAAAGGACCCAACTGCAACTAATGTGACATTTTACTGTGACAACGTTTCGCTCTCCAGTTTTGTCAACGGCTTGATAAAGCTTCTGGTGAGCGAAATGTTGCCACATTAGTTGCATTTATGTCCTTTTACCTAACAAATGTTTTGGACGCTCGAGCACTAGGCAACACAACGTTAGTGATTTTTGTTGAGAAGACACGTACGAGCGTTTCTCACACGCTCAGTGTCCGGGGTTCGATCCCCAGCAAAGACGAAACCATTGGACGTGTTTCCTTACACCTGTTGTCCCGTTCACCTAGCAAGCAAGTAGGTGACCGGGTGTTAGTCGACTGGTGTGGGCTGCATCCCGGGGGACAAGATTGAAGGATCGTAATGGAAATCAAACAGACAGTTCCTCGAAAATGCACTGACTTTCATGGGGTATCCTGAGTGGCAAACCCTCATGGGTTAAAGCTCCAAAAAAATCTTATATTAACATCTCTGTCTCTGTCTATCTGTCTGTCTGACTGTCTATCTGTCTCTCTGTCTGTCTGTCTGTCTGTCTGTCTCTCTCTCTCTCTCTCTCTCTCTCTCTCTCTCTCTCTCTCTCTCTCTCTCTCTCACACATTCTCTCTGTCTCTCTCTCTCTCGCTACGAGGACCGGTACTCGACTAAGGTGTTTTTGAGGACGATGATAAAGCAGAATTCGGTTTCTTGTGTGTAAGAATGTGAGAGAGAGGGGAGTGAGGGGTCTGGGACAGGGGAGTGAGGGGTCTGGGAGAGGGGAGTGAGAGGTCTGGGAGAGGGGAGTGAGGGGTCTGGGAGGGGGGAGTGGAGGGGTTGGGGGGGGGAATTTGAGGGGGGGGGGAAACCCTGGGAAATATTGGGGGGGAATTCTGGGGAAGGGGGAGGAAGGGGCGGGGAGAGGGATTTTGGGGTGGGGAGGGGAGTGAGGGGGGGGGGAGGGGAGTGATCTGGGAAAAAGGGAGGGGAGGGGTCGGGGGAGGGGGTGAGGGTTGGGAGGGGGAAATTGGGAGGGGGGGGAAGGGGTCGGGAAGGGGGTAAGGGGCTGGGAGAGGGGGAGTGAGGGGTCTGGGAAGGGGATATTAAGGGGGGGGGTCTAAATTTGAAAATTTCTAAAGGGGGTGGGGGTTTAAAGAATATCGGGGGGGGGGTTTTGGGGGGGGGTTTTTCGGGGAAAGGGAATAGGGGTCAATTTTGGGGGGGGGGTTTTTCTGGGAGAGGGATGAGGTCTGGAAGGGGAAGTAGGGTTTCTGGAGAGGGAGTGAGGGTCTGGGAAGGGATGAGAGTTTGGGAGAGGGGGTAAGGGTCTGGAAGGGATGAAGGGTCTGGGGAGGGTTCGGGAAAGAGGGGAGGAGGGTCTGGAGGGGATTATGGGTCTGGGAGAGGAGAATGAGGGAGTCTGGAAGAGGGATGAGGATCTGGGAGAGGGAAGAAGGGTCTGAAGTAATTAGGGTTGGGAGGGAAAAGGGTTGGGGGGGGATGAGGGTCTGGGAAGGGAGTAGGGGTAAGGGGGTGGTTTCGGGAGGGGAATCTGGGTCGGAGGGGATAAAGGGTTGGGAAGGAATGAGGGTCTGGGAGAGGGTAATGGTCTGGGAGAGGGGATGAAGGTTTTGGAGAGGGATAAAGGATCTGGAGAGGGGATGAAGGTCTGGAAAGGGGGGATGATGGGTTTGGGAAAAGGGTATTAAAGGGTCTGGGAGGGGGAATGAAGGGTCTGGAAGGGGATGAAGGTACTGGGAGAGGGATGGGTCTGGAGAGGGTGAAGGGTCTGGGAGAGGATGAAGGGTCTGGAAGGGGATGAAGGGTTTTGAAGGGGATGAGGGTCTGGGAAGGGGTTAAAGGGTC